TCAAAACAAAGCAGCTTCTGTTTAGCGAACGATAGTCTAATCAATAAAACGACAACCAAGCGAGTGTATGTGGAAACAGTAAACACCTGACCGAAAAGTACAACCCAGATCTCCCATCCCATGCTCGAACCCAAACACCGCCACCGCTTTTGACCACCAATCTCCGAAACTCCGGATCACTGAGCGAGCACCCCTTACATACCAGTGCCGAAGTTCTGGCAGCGGCTGCTGAAGTTGACATTGGCGTTCTCCCAGAGACAGTCAGCATACTGGATGGAGCACTTATTCTGAGCGCTCTGCCACTGGTCGTTACCGAATAGGTTGAAGAAGCGAGGCTCAATGCCAGACTTCTCGAGGGCGCGCTTGTGGAAGTGGGAGTGAGATCTCTTGTCGAAGTAGTTGCTGTTATCACTGCGAGTGTTAAGCTTCTTGCAGCTCTGGACATATGTACCGACACAAGCGTTGTACTGAGCCTTGCAGGCGTCGGCACAAGCGCTGGACTGCTGGTTGCGGCGATAAGAAGAGCAAGAATTGGAGTTGGTATTGGTGTAAAGCTTGAAGGGGTTCTGAGAAAAGTCGCTCTTCAAGTCGTTACAGGCAACAAGAGGCAGCTCAATACCACCGACAGGGTTGCCGGGACCGTAGCCCCAGATGTTAGAGCTGGGCTGCTGGCAAATGTTGGTGGGCTGAGGAGCGCAAGAGGTGACAGCAGCCGAAGAAGTGGTGGAAGTGCTGGTGACGGCGCAGGGATAGACGCTGGTAGTAGTCGAGGCACTGTTTCCGCCAGTGGGAGCGTTGTTCTTGATGCAGCCAAGCTTGTTGCAGCTACGACCACGGGAGCAGGAAGAAGCACAGTAGCCCTGGACACCATCACACCACTTAGAGAAGTCGAAGCAGTTCAGAGCGCCGGGCCAGCCAGCGTTCTGGAAGCAAGCAGCAATGTTCTTGGCGCAGTTGTTGTAGGCGGTCTGGCAACTGTTTTGATCCTGGAAGTCAGGGACAGACGGCGCACACCAGTTACCACACTTGTACTCGCAGGTGTTGGGCACGACAACGGTGGAAGTACACATAGCAGGACCAGTAGTGGTGCTGCAGGACGTAGTGGTTGTAGTGGAAGGCTTGTTGGTGGTAGACTGGCCATTACCGTTGGTGGACGAAGGGTTGGAGGGGCCCGGAGGTTTGTTGGTGGTGGAAGAAGGACCAGAGGGGCCAGAAGGGCCAGAAGGGCCAGAAGGACCAGAAGGACCAGAAGGTTGACCCGTGGTAGAAGACTGTCCGTTTCCAGTAGTGCTAGTCAAAGTGCTCAAGGTTGTGGAAGAGCTGGTGACACTCGATCCGGAGCTAACGACAGGAATAGTGGTTGAAGAGCTGGAAGTAGCAACATTTGAGGTAGTAGCGGAAGTGGTAGAGGTAGATGACCAGAGAGAAACGGAAGCCGAGGCAGAGGCAGAGTTGCTGGGCTTCCAGCCACATGGCTGAAGAGAAAGCAGATCCTCAGCAACATAGACACTCAAACGACTAGCTCCACCGCAGAGCAGGGTCTTGTCACCGTTGCAAGGAACGTTGCAGTCACCAACATCTGCCTTGACAGTGTCGTTAGCCAGGACGTTACCGCAGTAGCATTCACCACCATATTCAAGACCAGCGAAAGGGAAGCCCTGGTCAGCGCAGGCAGTCAAGCAACTGGTGGGGGTCATCTGAGAACCATCAATATCCATGGGCCATGTCAGGGCGCGGCCCTTTGAGGAGTTGTCAGTGTAGCAACCGTTGGGCTTATAACCGGCGATAGACTGGACAGTTCCTTGGAGTTGAGTAACAACTCCTCCAAGGTTGGTGAGCTTGAAAGTGGGATCCTGCCAGATGGAGAAGGCATTGTCACTACCGCAAGTTTCGGTGTTATCACCAGTGCAGGGATAGTTGCACTGGCTATCAGGAAGCTGAATGCCACCAACGGTGGAACCGCAGTAACAAACACCATAGTACTTGAGACCAGCATACCGGAAGCCGTTGCCCTTGCACTCGGCAACACACTTCTCGACAGTCATATTGTACTGGTTCTGACCGGAGCGGTAGATGAGTGCACCACCCATATGGCCCTCAACACCATCCATGTAACATCCAGATGAAACATAGGGCTGAAAAGGGTCAAGACAAGGTGGGTAGTCGATGTGGGTGGCCTGGGCCATGCCAGCCAAGGCGATAGTCGCACCAGCGACAATGGTTCTAAGAGAGAACATGATTTTGTTGTTGTTATCAAATGAGAGGATAGAAAGTTGCAAATAACTGTCGAGGTTGTTGTAAGTGAGATCGGGTATCCGGTGCCTCGGTGACGTTGCAAGCAGTCTTGATGTTTAAAGAGAGTGGTGCCCCAGGGCAAATAAAAGAAGGAATGTGATCCGAAGAAGAGAGTGTGAGAGTAAGCTGATTGCTTGAGAAGCTGCTGTTGGATGATGAGGAAAGCCTGGTTATGGAACGGGGGCTTCGAGGATATTTATCCTTTGTGACTGCTCCATGGCTACCAAGGCAAATCTCCTCGCCTCTCAATCAACTTAGCCAACTCAGCCATGTCAGACATAGACTCAGGAACCGGAAGCCCCGTGCCCATCCACAATGCCACAAATCTACTGAATAACCTCATGATGCAAAAGACGCCAGTGGCCGCCGATGAGCTCGTGGCACAACAAGAACAACCCTTCCCAAAGCAGGAGTCGTAGACAGACGCCACTAAGCGCCTAGCACACGCCAAACTTGAATGTAGTATCAATTGGCCTTCTAAGAGGACGAGACTATCCAAAACAGCTCAACTGGGTAAGCTCCTCTATTGCTATTTCGGGCGTAGATCGAGAAGTGGATGAGTTGAGTCCCTTATAGTGGATCGATCTTTTAAGACTAGTCGGCAGAGTAAGAGACGAAGGGGCGTGGGACGCCGATTTACGACAATCACTCGAGCGTAACAGACTTCCAGAGGTGAATCTTAATACACGTGGGGACGCCAAGGGCCCAGACGTGACCGATGGCGGTCGGCTCTCGGAATGGATTTGGAGGCGTTTAGGGGCCTGTAGCTCTCCCGCCTGTTCCTGCAGCTTCTGATGCAGGTACAATGAGGTCCTAGGTCCTAGTTAAAGAGTCAGTAACGAGGCGAGGCCGAGGTATGACACACTCATATCACCTGTGACCATGATGATGTTGATACAGATCCCGAATTGCCATAAACTCGTGACATGCCAACCTTGAGTGACAGAACATGTAGAGTCTAACAAGAAGAAAGCAGGAGCAAAAGCGACCTTCCAGAATCATCCAAGTGAAGGTATCTTGAGAAGATTCTAGTTGATCCCTGTGGGAGATCTCAATCCTCCAAACCAGATAAACTGGATCTACCACAAGATTGTATTCCAAATACCCCGAGAAAGCTTTGCCTTTCGATCGGATCCACGATGGAGGACAAACACCACAAATAGTGGTATCGTGGCTCTAGCCCAACATACCTGTGGCTATGTGGGTTCAGCACTTGCTGGTGTTGTGTTGGTCGATCATATTTGGACAACAGGCCTCTTCAACGCTACTAGCCTTTGCTATGTAAAGCCACAATTGGATTCTAATCCATTTTTAATTGCCGGAAGATCCATGCCATGAGAATCTAGATGGCTGAGCTCCGGTCTGGCCGTCCTCTCTGATCGCCGGATTTGGCCAAGATTGAAGGATATCGAACAATTCTAGTTTGGCAGCCTCAGGGAACGATCTTATTTAGTCATTCAGCCACGAGAGGGCTGAACATACCATCAATTTTCCAGTCACAGGAAAAGCAGAAGCAAAAAATCATTTGTGTCTGGTATCGTTCGGAAAAAGTTGTCCTCAATGGTAAAGTTGAAGTTGGTTGTTCCAGATGCTAGTTCGTTTGCACGTGATCATCACTGATACGACTACCTTAAACTACTAGCACCTTACTAACAGGTGTCATCAACCAACAACCTGGGTGACAAACGCAGAACCCAGGACATTAAGACTGCAAATAAGAGTGTATCTAAAGAGATTCGGTGATAGGTTAGGGTGATGATTGGCATCCAACGTTACCGAAGGTTCTTGAGTTCATTCGATCACACCCACAACTCGTGATGAACATTCGACTTTCTTCCATTGGCAAACAGTCTGACGCCTCATGAGAGCACCACTACCGTCTGCACCTCGTATAAACTTTTCTGATCACGTTCAAAACAAGCCTCCATCAGTGAAACTTCTGACCTGTTAGAGAGGACTGGTCTCGATTCTGGCACTGCAGTTTCAGAACCAACCGTTGGGATTTACTAAACGATCACGACGATCCAGGAACCAAACTCAGTTCGAGACTCAGTCATCCGATCGGGTAGAGCGGATTCAAGCTCACCGATCGATGACATTTCATGACTTTAAAAGCATACTCATGTCATGTTTCTGTTGCAAGTAAGTCCTTCCAGTCCTAATCGTCTAACCGAATCTTACCCTCTCAAGCAATAGATGCCCGCCTCTCAACTGACTCGTGAATAAAGCATGTGTTTTACATAGCGGACTTTGCAAGCCGACAAAAACCGGCATCAAATGACAGAATGCCATATGACGAAACAGTGACTCACTGGGCAGGATAGAAGGCCGTCTGCTACGCTAGTTAACTTTTCAAACTTGACAGCCACGTTGACTATCGATAAAATTCATCCAGCGCCCAGGCACGAGGAATGCAAACTAATAAACAGCAGGTCTAGAAAGGCTGTGACACCTGATTGCTTGTTCAAGTTGTAAGAAGTCATCATTCGTCTACCTCATGATCTATCCTGTCCCTTAGATAACCAATGAGCTTGACTGTTGAAAAAACGATTGTAACATGGTGCTCGTATGCGCTTAGTCTTGAATTGATTCATACTACTACTACTTTTCCTTCCATGCTACGGAGAACAAGAAACCAAATCCTGAACGCCTGAATCGCAAACTATGCATGCCCGACTGCGATCTCTCCCCACTGTCTGTACCACTTATTTGTTCCTCATGTGAGGAGGAACCCACTTGCCGGCTGTTCGTGAAGCAGGTAGGGATTCCGCAGGAGGAGCGGGAGACTGCTTTCGATCCTCCTCAGCACGGCCGGAGCCGCTTCGGTCCATAGGTGGCGCACCACCCCGAGGCGCGAAGCGAGGGGGAGGGGCGGAAGATCCAGCATCAGCTCCGCCACCAGCGGCTTGCTTTGCAGCCTCACGCTCTCGCCAGCTGGGCTTGCCACCAGTGAGATTAAGCTTGGGAGGACCACCAGCAGAAGGTCGGTCGTTGGAATCAGACCTCTCGGCAGGAGGTGCTCGAGAAGGAGGAGCATCACCAGCTTCACGGCTGGCCGCCTCACGTTCTCGCCATTTGCCGGCACCAAAGACCGGTGGTCTTCGGCCCTCGGACGAATCTGTGCGCTCTGGTCCACGAGAGAAGCTACCAGCCCCTTGGGCCTTCTCCGCCTTGCGACGAGCCAGTGCTTCTTCTTCGCGTCGCTGTTGAAGGGCAGCCTTCTCCAGCATCTCTTGACGTTCCTTCTCCCGCTGCTCTTTGAGCTTGGCAAGCTCTTCCTTACGAGCTTCATCCCGAATGCGCTGCTCCTCCTTCTCACGAGCAGCGCGCTCTTCAGCCTCACGTAGCTCACGCTCTTTCTCCTCGCGCTCACGCTTCTCACGAAGACGTCGGTCTCGGACCTCCTTCTTGCGCTGCGCGATCTGCTTCTCAAGCTCACGCTCAGCGTCGCGACGGCGCTTCTCGAACTCATCACGACGGCGTTCATGGAGGGAGTCACGGAACTCCTCGTACTGAGGCACCAGTCGACTGAGTCGGTGTTTGAGTTCAACACTCTCCTTGTGTTTCTGCTCAGCATCCTTGAGGGTTTGGGCCTTGACAGTCTCATAGATCTTGCGGTCCTGCTCAATTTGCTTGGCATAGTCCTCGTGTAGTTTCTTGGCTTCCTCCTTACGGAAAGCACGTTCAAGATGATCGAGGCGCTTGCCAGTGATGCGGAGACGCTCGTTGACATCATTCTTTTCACGCTCGAGCTGAGCCAGCTTCATTGCGCGTAGGCGGTTGCTGTCAAGGTTGTCGAGATCCTCCAGATCAATATCGATAGCCTTGTCGCCAATTTTGAGATCGGCGATCTGCTTCTTGAGTTCCTCCTTGCGAACTCGGTCGCGTTCAGCCTTGAGGCGCTTGGCCTCGCGCTCCTTTTGCTCATTGGCGAGACGAAGATCCTCAGCTTCTTGAAGGGCTTGCTCACGAAGTCTCTTCTGGCGGGCATTCTCCTTCTCCTTCTTGGCTTGGATCTCAGAAGCAACCTCCTTGCGCTTCTGGATAAGGTCCTTTCGTGAAAGAATGGCGAGATGCTCCTCCTCAGCGCCAGCCTTGGCGCGAGCGAGAGCAGCTTCACGAGCCTCGAGGCGCCCCTTGTTGAAGCCGGGGTCAACGTAATGGCAGGTGGTGAAGAGAGACTTGGCGAGGCGGGTAAGCTGGGAGCGGACAATCTCAGAGGGAGTGCTCTGAAGACGCTGGACGGTACCGGTCTCAGACTCTGCAGAACCAGCAGAGGACCCGCCGTGGCTAGCCTTGGAGGATGAGAAGACATCGTTATCGAAGCTCAGAACCCCTGTGGCATGGGCCATTCGGACAGAAAGATCACCCTTCTTGTTACCATTCATGATGAATTTCTCGATAGTTCCACGAGTGACCTGGTAGGGCTCCGGGAATTGAGCCAGGCTCTCGACGAAAGACAGGTCGACGGTTTCGTAGACTTGGGAAAGCTGCTGGAACAGACGGGTAAGGATGACCTGCTGCAGGGGAAGAATGTATTTCTCCATCTCAGAATCGGCGCCAATCTTGGTCAGGATAGGAGAGATCTTTTGGCAAATGGACAGAGGGTGGAAGTCGACCTCAAGGATCTCGTAAAGCTCCCGAATCTCAGGGCGAGCGCGCTGAAGAAGGGACTTTGAGAGAGCATCCCGGAACAGTCTGGCACGAGTAGGGGCTTGAGACATTCCAAGGAGGTGAGTCAAACGAGAGTTCTTGTTCTTTCTGGCCTCGTCGAAGTCAACCATGGCCCCTCGAGATCGGGATGTGCTGATGACAGGGATGGCAAGGGCGGATAGTACAACGAAAGAGGCGGCCTTCTGAAGCTCAGCATCGGAGGCAGGGGGATTGTCAGCCTTCTTGCCCTGGCCAGTGGCAACCAGGACAGAGGACTGGCGGAGAAGAGTGTAGTATCGCGACCAAGCCGCAGCGTGGAAGAGGTAGTTCTCGCCAACAAGGAAAATCCGCGTAAGCTTCTCGTAGTAGTTGGCCATCATGACATTCTTGGGAGGTCGCTTGCTGAGGCTAAGGAGAGTGTGAACATCCTCGACACTTCGGAAAGCCTCCTGCCAGAGCTCGAGCTCTACCGCGACATTGAGCTGCTGGAAACGTGTCTCAAGGTGTCGCTGGAGAGTGTCGGGGTCGCTCAGATTGATGGCGTGCATCTGAGAGGAGTACTTGGCAGCGGTCTGCACATGGTTTCGGAGGAGCTCGCAGAGGCGACGGAACTCGGTCTTGCGAGTGTACTTGAGACAAAAGTCAAATGCCTGGGTGGCGGTGCTCTGGTAGAGGATCTCGAGACGAGCATTGTTTCGGAGAATGTCGAGGACAGTTCGGTAGGCCTCCCAGAGGAACTTGAGCCAAGGAGTGACGATAGCCCGGTCGGTACGGTCTCGGGACTGCTCACCGGAGACGGTAGCAAGGAGTATGGACTCCGGGGTCTCGGTGGCCTCGAGATCGTCGATGTTGGAGGCACCGGCAGTAGCGTCAATGCTCTCCTGAACTTCGTCGGCCTTTTGCTGGGCAGCAGTAACCTTCTCAACCGCGAGCTCAATGAACTTCTTAAGGACCAGCTGTGATGTATATATTAATATCGGAAATCTCAACAGCATCGACTTTGTTATGATGTACGCACCTCGATGGTAGCAATATTTGTGTTCTGGGAAATATTCTTGTATTGGTAAAGGGCGTCCTTGGCAAGCTTGCCCTTCTTTTGTTCGACAGAAAGCTCGACGAGGAGGAGCATCACAGGCTCCAGCGACATAATTGGGACATTTCGGGAGCGCTTGTTGGTGATATGCTCATGGAGCAGAGTCAAGGCGGCGGGAGCCTGGCCGACTCCGATGAGTTCGTGAGCCCTTTTGAGAACATTCTCGGGCTTTTGGTGCGGCGGAGGAGGCTATCAAAAGACTTCAAGTTAACATCGAAGGCGGATTTAGTGTGGAGGAGGGGTAAAGTTCGAATAGAGATAGGGCTCAGGTTCACGACAACCGGGACAAAGAAAGGCAAGTATTCCACGTACCATGCTGGGCAACCTCCTCTGTATATGACTTGACTAAGAGAGGAGATTTATTTATGATGATCCGAGATCGATCAGCCAGTGGGGAGGTGTGCTGAGGTATTCGACCGGCACTCGTGATGGTGTTGCGACGACGTAGGTTGAATTTTTCGATTTTCGTGTGTGGCCGCTACGCTTAGGAGGGGCTATCTCGCAGCTTACATCAGCTGTTGTGATTGTGATGTGGCGGTACCTAAGTTCAGTGGCCGTGCACGATGTCAGCCACATACTTTCTTTCGTTGGTTGACTAGGAGTCAAGGCAGACCTTGAACTGGCCGAGGCAAGTTATAAATGACACTCATCGCTGGAGTCGAACAAGAGCGTGCAGTGTTATTTCTGGTTACCTTGTTTGAACAAGCCATGATAAGACGCGACTTCTTAGAGATCTGTTGAAATCTGAGGACAAGTAGTTGGAGGCTTAACCTTGTTATACAGTTAGCAGACTCGACTGGATGAAGGGTTTATTCGCAGCCCGTTGACATTGACAGTGATGAGAGATTGGTGTACTAGCTGATAATCTGCCAGTTCTGAGTTATCGAATTTGAGAAGGCCATCGCCTCAAAGTGATAAACTTTGGAGTATGATAGAGATATATGTGAGAGATTTTTCGAGACCCATCTTGCTGTCCGACTTAATTGATAGTAGCAGTCAGACAGCCAGTCATCCAGAGGATTACGAGAGAGTTAAAAGTCTTGTGTCCTTTGCAAACTGGAAATCCCACTGGGGCTTGACACCGGACATCCAAACATCTAAACATAGTAGCTGAAGTGATCTATGGGGATGACTGCCACCTAGAAGGTTAACCTTGAGGCTGCAAACACAGGTGACGAATGAGAACACGGTAGTTTTTTCCTCAATATAATAGCTGAAGTGATCAATTGTGTTCAAGCTTCTTGATAAGAAGGTTCGTTTCGGTTCGTGTTCGTGGTTTCATTTCACAAGCAAATCAAAAGAGAACAGTTACTCCAATTGAGATTATGTGCAAAATAGCAAAATATCCTCCAACGGCTTGCAGGGCCGGCATGAATGAACATCGTCCCTATAGAAGCTGAGATTCTTGTTTTCCCGACATAGATTACAAGACCCCGATCCGTATAAATCCTTGCGAATGGCGTCAGTCGGTCCCAGCTGGATGGCGTTGATCATTCGTTTCACGAGTTCTGACATCTCGGAAGTCATCAAACAGTACGGATGCACATAACGAACAGATGGGATGGCAATCTGGTCAGGGGTACTAAAAGCAGGTACCTGAGCCGGGGATCGTGTAGGAAAAAATGCCGACGCACCAGGCTCGAACCATGTCAATAGGAGAGTTGCACAACTTGCAATTATCAGCCCACAAGCGGAACTTGGTTGGTGCTGGACATGAGGAATAGAGAGCCAGGGGGGATCCAATTGGATGAGGACTCGTCGAGGCAATTACTCTCTGTACCAGAATTGTAGAAGCTAGAAGGCGAAGTGCACTCTTGATGCATAATTGTTTCACCCTCTGATGAGAATTCAAGGCTATCGTAAGCTCCAGCTTCAATGCAACAATTCACAACAATCCGAAACAGAAAACAACTTCGTACAGGGCTACGCAGCCCTTTTTGAGGCTGCAACCCAGAGAGAAAGCTAGGTATCGTGACTGCTGCGCCGTTACCCAAACCATTTGCAGAGTCTCATCTTAATGACTAGCAGCATTGGTGGATCTCGTTGGTTCCTCTTAGCAGAGTCCTGGCTTCATTACTCCGTAGTAGACCATACTATACTAAAAGAATCAATAATTTAACAGAAATTATGAATAAACAACTCAACGTGTGTCGCTATTGTTTGTATCTTGAAGGCAACATATCATTTCTGTTTAATGCACTTGCTCTTATTCTCCACTTCTTGGATGGCTGTAACTTGTATAAAGGACTCAAGAATCAACAGTTTCTCTCAGCCCAGGAAGAGGAACCCCTTTATGTATGCAGGCCACTACTGCAGCGTTCCGAGAGCGGGAAGCGACAGTAGCAGGAACAGAGACCCTGAGCGTCTCGAACTCCACGGAAACTTGAGAGGAGGGACGCGTTGAGGAAGGGGCTCACAAAATCTGTGAGCATTAAAACTACGTGGTGTCGCAAGCCTTTGTAGTGGTATTCGGTTCTACAGCTTGCGAGCAGCCGAGACGAGACGACGGGAGCTTTTGGGTGACCAAGAACGAGCGAGGTTGGGCAATGTTTCCGTACCTGGACCTGTGCATTCGAGCTTGGACTTGATCACCATGGTTTCCTCTCTGCCCCATTGTTGAGATGAAGGGCGTATTGCTTTCAACTCTCGCGTTCTGGTCGCAGATCTTCCCGCTTTTACCGATTGACCAAAGTTTGACAAAATCCGTCCTTGGTGGCTTTGGATGATCTCATGGAAGACCTGGTAGATAAGCCTAAGGTAGTTGGGTAGGTAAGTAACCATAGGTACTACGTAGTAGTGTGTTTTGACGCAAGAGGTTGGAAGTCAATGTCACTCAACCTCCCCTATCAACAAAAATCGAGGAGATTGACGAGGTTCCCTCACTCGCTCTGGCTTCTTGGCTTGGAGGGTTGTTGATTCAGGTTCCTCCCCTCATAATTTGAAAGGCAATATCAAGTGCCTGTAGCTTTGCAGCTAAGATGGCTTCGGGGCCAAATACGGTTCCGCAGGCCCCACCAAAGCCAACCACAAGCGTTCTATGGCTCAATTGAAAGTCCTTTTTGCCATGGATGCTTGTCTGCTGCAATAAGAGGAGCATACATAATTAACTCGTTAGCTATGAGCATACCACATTAGGCAGATCAAGGGCTGGGCTGAACTCGCTGTTTTCAACGGGTTGTTGGAAGGTAGGAACTCAAAGCCAATTTTGATACTGTAGAGATCAGCTGTTGGCATGTTCATTTCTGAATCAATTGGCTCCATCCAACGTCCTGAAGATAATGTCTCGTCTCCTTATCCCGTTGATCATCACATCAGCCCCTAGCAAGGTCTAAGGTCCGTCAACGGGGCCCCCAGCAGCTACCCCCTACCCCCCCAATTTCGATGTCAGGGCTCCCGCAGCACAGGAACAGAAGGAGGAGCCACAGCTTCTAGTGCACGAGCCACCAAGCAAATCCGCCTAAGGATGCCCCCAGACGCGCAAAGAGTTATCGAGCACTCAGTGGTTCATTTTCGCGGAAAAGTGGCTCCACTATGCGATCTAAACCCAGCCTGTCCTAATGCTGGTGCTGGTGTTTCCCGCAACTTGGACCTGCTGCTGGCTTTGGGTTAGGTAGGTCGTACCGTCGTACCTACCTAGCTCGAGGGTTTCCACTGCAGTGCAGTTTCCCCCCCTACCATGCCCCCAGGCCAGGTCCTTCCTATCACATTCTCGCTCCTCCTCTGCTCTCTGCCACCAACTTCACCAAACCTTACCTTCCTTTCCACTTGCACTTGCTCTTGCACTTCCACTTTCCCTGACCTCTCACGACGGACCCTTTTTTTCTTCTCCTTCACACACCCGTTCCAACCATCATCACTTCCGAATACACTCCCGACCGTCGATTCTCTCATTCTTGTCTGCGTACTGAACCGCTTCGCAAGCTCCGACTGTCATTTATTGACTCGAGTCCGACGCTCCGTAAGTCATATCCTTTTAGTGATTATATCCTCGTCGCCATCAACCAGGGGCAAGCAACAATTGCATATAGGCGCTACAACATGGAAATGGGCATCGGCAGAATGAATCAAGTGATGGACGATGTTCCCTTGGACTCATTTATTCCGATTGCGATGACATTTGCCCGAGACAAACTCGATTGACGCGATTGCCGACCTTTTCTGATCCGTCTTTGGCCCATCTTGCGATGCCTCGATTGCACTTCAAACTCAACGATGTCACTCCAACACCACGCTAACATTGAAGATTAACAGTTCTCAACCCATTCGCGCGCCTCATTGCCGTGACTCTCCCTCCAAAACCGCTCTCACCCGCCCACCTCGGCACCCCGTTCCAAGATGCCTCAGTACACTTCTCGCGATGTTGGCGACCCTTCGCAAATCAAGAAGAACAAGCAGTCGATGGCCGATCTCAAGCTCCGACGACTAACCGAGCTCAACAATCGTCTACGCGAGGATCTTGAGCGAGAGCGCATTCCCGTCAGCACAGCATCAAAGAGGTGAGTTGATCGTGTTGATTCCACCCAACGCGTCAGTAACTAATGTCGTAATAGCATCATTGCCTACTGCAATGGCACTCGGGACTACATGGTCCCCTCCGTCTGGGGTGCTGTTCCCAAGGGCGAGGACCCTTACGCGCCGCAACAATCTGGCGGCTGCTGTGTGGTCATGTAATGCCACCCGTGATAATAATTTTTCCTTATTACTGGTTACCAAAATCAACAATTACGCAATGTCGGCAATGATTCAGCGATTAGGGGGTGAACCGCAGTCGGTTTTGATATGTTTGTGACGCATTTAAGGGGAGTAAACCCAGGAGAAACTGGGTATAGGATACTCGGATGATGGAGGCGAATTAGGCCCTGGATACCGAAGCGCTTGCTAGCACTACCACGACGGCTACTTGGGAGGCTACCAGGACCGACTTGCGCTATTGACGAAGCGACGCGAAGCGCGAGAAAGAGGGAGAAAGCCCATACACAAGATCCAGCTGTACCAGATGGACCCAGATCAAGATACCCAAGATACCATACCATTTGAGCGGGTCACAAAAGCCAACAGCGCGAGCAAGGGAGCCATAGTTGATGAGATGAAGGCTGGACTGGACTACAGCGATTTAATATTTCTGTCTCCGCACGTTTGTCTGTCTTCCTGCTGGAAGAGATATGGATGTTGCTATGAGACCAACAATAAGGGGAGAGGTTGAAGCACCACTACGACGAGTCTGGGTCTGAGTCTGGGTCTTAGGAAACGGTTCATGGATCGGGCTCTTGCGCGAATGTAATAATTCCCCTTTTTATTATCATTTTTCTGTTATCATCTTGGTGTCATTTCCGTCCAATGTCGTGTACGTTCCCCAAGCAAATATACTTCTATATCTATGATTTGACGACTTGAATCCTTGGACCTGTTGATCTTGAGACTTTGAGATATGAGTCTCAATAGTGTTATACTCGGTTTTTGTAAGTCATGACTTTCACTTAACCATCTCTGTCCCAAGAATAAATCGCTATTTCACATAGTGCAGACTCTGACGTCTTCAGGACTCAACTTTACGCCCATCCGACCCGACCCAGGCAATTCTCACTTGTTACCTTTTTGTTAGGTAGTAGAGGTACTTGGGATTCTACAAGTGTTACATAACGTACCGACCGGGAGCAGATCTTAAATATCGTTATATTCCCACTTTGGCTACGCCATAACAAGTACTGCGACTTACGCTTCTAAGCTGTATCAGCGATCTATCACATCCTATGTCAAGGTCTCCAGGCAAAATCAACTCTCTTCCTCAGCATGTCACGCTCTACGTACTTCACAGTACATCATGGGAGTACCTAAGCAGAAATCACAAAGTGGATCCCTGGGTCGAATTAAGGCGTTCTCGACCGCGGGGCTTGCATATACAGATATGACTGGGCATTCACATTACCTAGCTGTAGCTGGAGGGGCGAAGAATATCCCCTCATACCTACAGTATAGTAGTCTATAATTACTACCAAGTACCAATCGATCTTAGGCATCTCAAGCCATTAGGACAAAATTCCTGTACTTTTACTGTCCCCATTGTTCCCTTCAAACCTCAAAGATAAGGTCACCTTAGTGGAAAGATTTCGTTGCCAAACTCACCTCAAGCTCTGAACCCTCAACGCCCCAGAGTTTAAAAACTCAAAAGTCCAGCCCGGCCAAGCCAAGAATAGACCACGACGTTCCCGGAAACGACTGCATAGCATAGCATAGCAAAACCAGCAACTGAGAGACGGCCAGAAAAAATCATGGCAAGCCAGGCGTCGACGCAAACGCCTCTTCCCCGCGTTTCTATCCAGTTCTGTACGCAGTGTAAATGGATGTTACGAGCTGCCTATGTAAGTTGACCGAATTCACAGCCTGCTAGCTACCTTATGTTAGCATGTGACGAGAAGCTCACACACCTCAGTATGCTCAAGAACTCCTCTCCACATTCTCAACAGGCCTCGGGGAGGTCGCTCTTCAGCCTTCTACAGGCGGGACTTTCATAGTGACCATCACGCATCAAGCCACTGGTGCAGACATTTCTTCTACAAAGACCCTCTGGGATCGACGTGAAGATGGGGGCTTTCCTGAGACGAAGGAGCTCAAGAGGAGGGTGAGAGATGTCATTGAACCTGGAAGAGATTTAGGCCATGTTGATAGGGATCGTGGGAAGAAGGAGGAGGCAGCGAAAGACAAGCCAGCTGAGACGGAGAAATGCGAAGATTGCCAGTAGTGTTTCTCAAGCATCTGCGGTCATGACCTGGCTGGCCTATGGCAGGTTTAACGAATGCTTTCACGTGCGGCATTCATATTGATACCGCCGCTTGCTGTCCAAGGAGAATCTTCCCTATGTAGGTATAAATAGCTATAGTTAAGCTTATACGCCTATGTGGTCGTTGTCTGAGGAGATGAGTATTCTTGTAATTTCATATCCTCACCTTTGATGTATCTCGAGTTCCGATTACTATTAACCACATTCACTACTCACGCAATAATACTACGACACGATCTTCGTCACAATTCGTACAGAAACTACTGTTCGCTCTAGCAACTTATTCCTCTCCTCTTACACTACCTTCGCTATCCCTTGCCAAAATTAAGCAACGCTTTACCCCCCCTGCCCACTCTCCCTAAACCCATCTAAAAGCACAAAACGTATACAGAGGTCGCTCTTGAGCAACGAATAAGACCACACAAAGCTCGTCCATGAAATGCAACATGACCGTAAAAGAAAACGCTCCCAACCAGACAGATTAGCAGTGGATGAATTATCTTATCCTTGTCATCACAAGAAATCAAGTGAGAGAATGCCAGCCTCTCGAACTGCTTATGTCCACGGGGCAGCCTACGTAGAGCAGACATAGCAATATCGTCTGTCCCGTGGATCATGTGTGCATGGAATCCGAGAACTGTATGTGCGCGTGTGCAACTCAAAAAAACAGTTTTGTCAATGTTTTATCTGTGTGTGGAGCTAAGAAACAGCCGTTTGTCGTTATCAAGTTCGCATATAGGCATTAGAGACGATTCGGGTTTCGCAAAAGTCAGCGTCGCGTCCGGCGCCTCTTAAGTTCCGTCACCCTCCCAGTGGACCAACATTCCCTGCCACCAACGGTGGCAAGGCTAGCTGCGAGACGGCGGAGATTGGGGGTGCACTTCGATCGAGACAAGTCCCGAGTCGAGTTGTTCTTTCTTCGTCGCGATTGTCTTTCACCTTATTCGAGGTGAGATGATCGTTTAACGTCGGCCGAACCTGTTGAAAGCACATTGTTGGTATAAATTCTTCAAATATTCTTGCAAGGGGAGTTGATTGGCGTGCTAGTGCTGCCAAGAGTGGTTGGAACATACTTTTGCTTCTTTTCAGCGGGTTTCAAGATCTAGTAAAAACATAATCAGCATGTTTGTACCATAGTGAGCATTGTCAATCTCACCTGAAAAGAACACAGCAAGCTCTCGTCGACACTCATCATCGCACCGGCGTTGTCAAATTCACCACAGTAGTTGGGCGCACTGAATAGCGTGACCAGCTGGCGCTTGGAGAAGAATTCATAGCCGTCCTCAACAACCTGATGAGCTCGGCAGATCAGGTCCATATCATGTTTCTGCAGGAAGCGCGAGACAACATCGGGACCGAATGTGAATGAGACACCACGGTCGTTTTCGCTCCAGCCAGTAATATCCTTATCTGGATCAGACCACAAGAGATCGCAAAGAAGACCGCAGTCAGGGATCTAGAGATCTGTCAGTATCTCTCATTCGGAGCAACCTGCGCCTCCATCTTGCGCAGTCTATGCTACTCACATCAGTAGGTCGCATGACACGGCGAATTTGCTCCATAGAGTTGAGGTCAGGGCTGAGGCCACCGTGCATGGTAAAAATCTTCTCGTCGATGATAGCGGCGATAGGAAGGCAGTTGAAGCAGTCGGTGAAGGTCTTCCAAAGTTTGATGTTGTAGCGACGCTTGCACTCGTCATAGAAGCCATAGATTCGGTTGATAGAGGCGCACTCGTGGTTACCTCGGAGGATGAAGAAGTTTTCGGGGTACTTGATCTTGTAGGCAAGGAGCAAGCAAATAGTCTCAAGAGACTGCTTACCTCGGTCGACGTAGTCACCGAGGAAGAGGTAGTTGGCCTCGGGAGGGAAGCCACCGTACTCGAAGAGTCGGAGGAGATCGTAGTACTGTCCGTGGATATCACCGCAGATCTATCAGGACACGGGCAAGTCAGCAAATGGGTTTTCTTGACTGCTTAAGACCCAGGGCAGAAGCGCCCGTATCAAGCACCAATTCTCAGACCGAAGCAGCGCGAATGATCATACCTTAATTGGAGCCTCGAGTTCGAGGAGGATGGGCTGAGAGATGAAGATCTCACGAGCCTTGGTACAGAGATAACGGATCTCGGCCTCAAGTAGCTGAACTTGCTTGCCAGGTCGGCTGCCTCGTACCTCGAGTAGCCTGTCGATTATGGAGTCGAGATCGACCTCGTGTTGGTCTGCCATTTTGAGAGAATTTGCTGGCGAGAGGGTGCCCGCAGTAGAGTTAAGGGAGGGTCGCGTGGGGGAGGAGGAAGGCGGCAGACAAGATCGCTAATCAGAACAACTGCGGGGGTAACTTTGTCGACCGAAATATGATACCAGATAAATACACTTCACAAAACCTGGCCGAGTCAGCCGGTGAAACCGGGAAGTAAGAAGATTCAGAGCAATAAAAAAAGAGAAAAGCCGAAGAAAAATGTGTCCAAACTCGCAAACGCCGCGACCGACAAGAGGGTGAAAATTTGACGATGAATGGATGGATAAATATGAGGTAAAAGACAAGTTTGGGTTAGGTTGCTTTGCTTTGCTTTGCGGGTGAGTTGCGTTGCGTTGCGATGGTGGAACAACGAAACGAGAGAAGTCTAGAAAAATTGGAGGGGAAGCAGCCGAACAAGCATGGAGAGAGGGCTGTGAGCGCGAAATGGGTACGGGAGGGGAACAAGAGGGGAGACAGACGGCGCGGCGCGAGCGAGCGAGCGAGCAATGAATTGAATGGGGCGCACACCAGTACCAACGCCAAAAGGGAACTTACCCGTGAAGGGATCACGTCTCTAATGGAGCGAGCGATTGGAGGATTTTGCGTTTCGGAAGATCGAAAGCGCAGAAGAGCAAGTTGATCAGCAATAGCAAATTGTGTCGTCGTTCGATATTGAATTGCAACAAAGAAGCAATCAGATCACGTTGGATATGGGGAGAAAACAGTCGTCGTCGTGGTTGCCGCAGTGGGCCACCGACTTTGGTTGTTGATAGCTGTACCAGAAAGAGACAGGTAGGTACAGGGCGTCAGAAAATGAGGGGCGAGCAAGATGCTAGAAGCCAGAAGGGGAGAGACAAAAAACACCGTCAGCGCGAGCGAGTTTTTGCTATCCTCGTCTTCTGGTTAAGCAAGAGTAAATATTGCGTCGACAAATATGTGACGCTTCGTCGCCTTTGTAGGGTATATAAGCAGAGTGCAGCAAAGGGCCTCTGTACCGTCGACTTTGATGATGATTTTCTTTGAGATATGAGAAACGATGTTCTCTTCGCCTTTTTTATTTATTGATGTTATCGTCGTCTGGTCTGTTGGGGCAGCCAAAGTGGGCGCGATCAGGGAATTTGGAGTTCAGGGACGGAACACGGTGGTTCGTCAGTCGTCGTCTGGGGCCAAAGGGAAATGGCGGATCAAGTAACAAGCAAAGCAGCTCTTCACAGAGACAAGCGGTTTGTAATATGTTCGCAGAGAGTGTTGGCGATGTGGCTAACACGTGAATAGAGTCTTCGTCTCGGTCGTCGTCGGGTTGAGTTGAAGGGTTGAAGTTTATCCTCTCTGACCTGAGGGAACGGAAGGGGGGGAAGTTTTCCAATTTTTCCTGGGCTTTCACACTCGCTCAGTCACTGAGAAGGTGGACTCGTCACAACCACCAAACAGAGCTGGCCCGACCGGGACGCTTGGGCTTTGGGCTGCCTACACTAAACGGTACCTGCCATGGTCTGGAAAAACGCTAGCACAGGGCCCGGATGTGGACCTGGAATGGATGGAGCTGGGACAAGTACGGGACTCGGGGAGCTGGCTCTCAGTGGCACTCCGGTGATGGGGCTGCTGAGGGTAGCTATATTTTTAGTGGGAGGCCGCTATAAATTGCATTGGATCTCACCTGTTCATGCCTCAGTGTGACCTGACCTACCTAGGTATAGATAGAGACAGAATCTTGGCTTTTCTCATTGATCCAGTGCCTGTCTACATAGCATCTGTGCTTACCCATGCAACAATAGAGACTGGAACGTAACTCATCTTGACATTTCGGAGCCCCATCTTCACTTGCTTCTTGTCGTCCTGGGTGACTTTGTTTCTTGTCTCGCTTGCTTGGCTCAAATCACCGTCTCATTTCCTTGTCGCTGTAAGTCTCATTTGCTTGCTGCCCGTTGGGTGCCCAGGTATGGATACCCTCACTCATATCGCGTCTTAAGAAGCCCTAACTACTAAACAAAAACCTTGATTTTTTCTGACAAGCCAGCTTCGCCAGGGGAAAATTGCTCCTCTCTTGTCGCTAGGAAGTAAAAAAGGGGGCGTCTCGACTCTAGAGGCTCCTGCATAGCTTTAGCGACGGGATTCGTCGGCGCTTAAGGCTAAGTACCAAGTAATAGAGCCCAAGTTAAGGAAACATCAGTTTCATCTGGCTCAGCCTCTCTCGGCTCTCTTATTAGCATCGGTTCCCAAGTCCCGGAGAAGAGAGTCTCTTTCCTTATTAGTTCATCACCCCAAAGTACATACGAATGAGGAAGACCTTGTCGCGTGTGTAGGTTGCCGATGTGAGAAGCTGATTCGTTCGACATGAAGCGCATCGAGGACAGGGGTTCCTTAATACCAGGATATGATACATATGTACAAAGATAGACAGGCCCGCAAAGTCGTATTGCGATCGAGTACGTAACATCCACTCGTTTCATTCCAGTTGACAACGGTTACGGCAGAGCTCACTCTCCGACTTCAGGCTTCACAAAAGTCGCCTCATTCACTCTTCAACAACTCCTCCATGAACCCCATGGGATCTCTCAGTTGCGCATGCAAGAAACTTGCCACTCATGCCCAAGGCAACACACAACAGCACATGTGCTTCTTCTGCTGCATGATGCTGATCCATTTCTAGGTCTTGTATGGAGGGAGGATCGAAAAACACCAACCAAAAATCAGGAACCTGGTGCACATAGAGAACTAGCTCTGCAGAGCTAAGCTAAGCTCAGCTCCATCCGGGAGTGAAAAGAAGCATTGGATGCTCCGATTTAACCATTTCATCCCACGTAAGCTCGATGAGCATGTCGGCCAACATTATGTGTATCACAGCTTTATTGTTTAATGATGAGACGAGCCAGATATCAGAAAAGACAACGAGACGCCTATCTTTGTGCTACCCAAGCTCCTTCTGGTGAAGAAAATGACCTCAAATCACTCACCGACCGTTCATTTCTCTCTCGTCTATTGCGTCAGTACGCGTGCCCCGCTAGGACGCGCAGGAGCCAGTGTACAAATACAAACGGTGATGCAAGCAAACGGATGGACGAGTGTGGCTACATCATCATACATCCAGGCCGTGATTCACGTGACATTACAGCCTGCCACCAAGGAGAGTTATAAGATAATGCTTTCCACCATCATGACAGGTGTACTCCAACATATCATGATCGAATCATGTCACCGAGTTCAATATATCCGCTCCGGGTTTCTTTTAATCCTAAGGGGTTCCATAGGGGCCATCATGGAACAGTCAGAGCATGGTCGAGATATTATTGGACTCGGTATTCGTGAAACTATGCCCCATGGTCATACTATTCGGTTCAGATCCCACCATCATTAATTTTATACATTTGTATCGTATCCCACTAGCCGTACACATTCTCAAGCCGCAATCCATCGCTGAGCTAAGTCTGTTCATTCCCATAATCCATCTGGGAATCCTTCGCCAACGCCTTTTCCATCCCATAAATTCCTTCTCAAAAGTATTAACCCTGTAATACTTGATTCCCGTCCTTCCCCAGAACGCCAAGCTCATTAGTGCATCTGTATGGCCCTGTATACTCTCTGAAATGAACCCGCATGACAAAAATGGCAAGCAATCAAAATGCGCCGGTTGTGGTGAGCGTTTGCTTGGTATATGCCTATACGTTGAAGATCATCTTCTCCTTGTTGATGTCCTCCGCTTCTTTGCTTTACTCGCTCTGGTCTTACCGCCCGCGGGTTCTACCTCCTCCTTCACATCTGCCTCAACTGTGGCAGATGCTGCAGCGTGGTCAACATCCATACCCAAGCCTTTGAACTCTTCGTCATCTAAATCTGTAAGGTCCTCGCTGAGCATGCGTACGGCATCTCTCCCGGCCCACCGCTCCTGGAGAACGGATGTTCCCTTGGGGTCATGACCCTTGAGGTACCAAAGTATCCCTCCGTCTGTGAGAGGATCCGCGGGTTCCAATCCAAGACTGCCGTTGGATTGTGGCGGTGTGGGAGGCCCCGATTGTGCCGGCTGAGGCTTCGACACATAACCATCTGTGTCGGGGGGTGTATTGGACGAGTTGATAGTGTTGGGGAGAGATTCGTGTTTTCCGACAGCACCTGCCTCTGCGAGATCAGATGTATCGACATCAATATTGGTGCTGACCTCAATATTTCCATTATCAGAAGTAGTATCCATCGCATCTCCACCCTCAGTGGAACTGGCCTTAACAGTAATTTGAAGCTCGGCATCAACCATAATAGTGTCGTTGGCTTCATCACTGAGGTCAGTTGGTTTATCTTGGCTCATCGCAGTCAGTGGTCGGATGTCTACGCTTCTGTCAATGATGTTCTCCAGCTCCTTCTTCAAGCCCTCGAAAGGCTTTTGGGAGATCTCCGACTCGATCCGTAAGGCTGTCTCAAGGTGTGGCTGAACAGCCTTCAATATGCGTTTTCCCAATTTTCGGCGTTCTCGTATATCCGAGAAAGTGGTTTTAGCAGGTGATGCATCGACAACTTCAGTATGAGTTGCAACGGTAGATGACTCAGGCGGTGCTGTAGAAATGCCAGTACTGATTACATCGCAAAGATCCAAAGCGAAGGACATTACTGTCACATAAAAGCGGGCATTGACGCGGCTTTGAAGCTTGTCAAGGCCGTCCTTGAAGAGATCTTTATCAAGTCTGAAACAATTAGTCCAAGTCAGATCAGCGGACCAATACATGCACTTACGATGTTGCCCTGTCAACAGCAGGGTTGAGAAGTTTCGCGACAGGGAAATAACACTCATCCACAAATTCTTGTTCAAGTTCACCCGCGGCAACCTTGATCTGCTCCCGTTCCACAAGCTCGGCTGCAAGATCTTTGAGCTGCTCGAGCTCAATAATCAAACTCTCGGCGAATTCAATGCGTCTAGCAAGCCTGATCTTTCCGCTCGGTCCCATAGCTGCGAAGTCGCGTCGCGTAAGTTCCATTGAGGAAAAGGACTCCATTTGAAGCTGCAGGCGCTTTAGAAGTGCCGCTCCTCGACGGTTCTCACGCTTCAGGGTCCAGTAGCGGCATGCCTGGCTCAGGAACTCCTTTCGTTTGGGTAATGCGAATCTTTGGATCGAAGTGTCTACAACTTCAAACACGGCCTGCGGTATAATAGGTGCACCTGCAGGGGTTTTCCAGACGTTTTTCGGATTCTGGCCTCTCTTTTTGTCACCAACGGCTGCAGACTTTGTCCCAGTAAGCTGTGTTTCATCCGACGGCTTTTCTGAAAGGGCATTGCGCTGCTGCTCTGCAATAGCATTCGCAACAGCGGTGTTATCAGCCCAAATACGATTCCTCATGGTTCTCTTATAGAATTTCTTAGCTGCCTTTGTGGCCTGTTGAACACTATGCTCTTGCACATAGTCAGGCGGGCAATGCTTGTCACAAAAGGCTTTGAGTACCATGCCGCCATCCAACACAGCGAGAGCACCCTGGCTAGTCTTCATCTTAAGAAACAGCCGGGATCTCCGCGCACATGTGACATGAAATGCTTGATAGCAGTTCTTGTTTCCACACTGTATGCAGGCGCCCATTCGCTGTCGACAAATGTAGCACGTCAATTTCCACCGGTTTTTCGGCACCTTTTCCACGTCCATGACTGGTTCCATGAATGTGTGATTGCCCAAGGAAACCTCAGGAATCCACATAGCGCAAAGCAGATGTGCCCACTTCGAGGAATTTGTTTGCTTGAACGCACCATCGGTATTGGGGCAAAAGATACACGTCTGCTTAGGGTCATTACGGCAACTCGAGAAAAGGTTCTGAGCTAGACTTACAGGAACCGAAGGCCCGCAGAGCTGGCATTTGCGGCAGAGCCACTGGCCTTCTGGGATAAATGGGACACCATAACATTCTTGATGAACTGCGAGGTTACAGCCATCGCAGAATACAATCGCATTGGTGTTTTCGCAGTCGCCGTCGTCGCAAATGGCGCATTTTGAGTCAGGCTCTTCACCACCTTGCGGCTCACCATTTACGGCGGCGGCAGAGCTTGATCGTGGGCGATGTGTTTGTGGAGGCTTCGGGTTGGGTTTTGGAATTCTCTTCTCAAGCACATGCCACTCCTTTTCGATCTTTGTCATAGTGATTTCGAAAATTTCTCGGGTTATAGCTGGAACGTCATTTTGCTTGCGGTGGGTATTGTATCGCCCAAGCCAAATATCGTCTTGTTCATCCATATCATATTCGACACGACCGATTCGGGTACGGTGGACCGGCCCGTCAGATGCTGCCATAGCAGCATCGGTCAATTCTGCATCATCTTCCATGGTAAGATCAGAAGATTTGATTAAAGCTTGCTCCGGGCGCAGGTAGTGATCACTCTCCTGATAGCCAACATTACTCATTGACTTGTCGACAAAGCGAGCCTGGCCAAAAGTTTTGCTCTCATATAATTCGATGCTGTTGGTTTTACGATATGACGGTAGTTTAAGATCCAATTTCTCTTTCGGTGTCTGGTTCTGAATGGGTAGGATTTTAGGTGTTTTCGGTGTTGAGAGAAAGTCCAGAGGCTTGCTGCTGTAAAAGCTGACCACATCTCGGGTCGGTCGACGAGGGCGCCGTAAAGGTGTTTCACCAAGAACATCGGTGGCATTGGAGTCTGAGCGGCCTTGAGGATTTGGTGTGTTTCCAGTTGATGCGGGGTTGGGTTGTCTCGATGGGGTTCGGGTTTCGTCCAAAGGTGTTCCGAATGCCTGAACCACTGATAAATCAGGTTGTTCTTGGGGTATGCCATCAACCTGTTCAGATCGCAGGATCATGAATGTAGCATCAATATCTAGGTTAGGGTGGAAGTCCTCCCAGCTGCGTTCCTCGCGGGGCTTGTAGTCTTCAGCCTGCTTCACAGCAGTCGCCATAGCTGCAGCTGAACCCCACTGCATTTCCTCCAAGCCATCATTGCCAGCAGCGCGCGTGCGAGCGCCTCTCTCTCGCCGAGGCATTATGGATGGAGAAGGGCCATTGATGGCCTCGCGCGCAGCTGCTCTTGACCTCGAGACTGTTGGAGGCCCAGTGGTATTCGGCGTGGTTAGCAAGTCAGCATCAGCGAAGCGACCACCGCCACCGGCCCCTCCTGGGATATATCGACGTCGTTTCGGTGGTGGTTCAGTTGCGGAGGCTGCCGCGAGGGCTGCTCTTGCAGCACGAGCAGCATTGGTCGAACCCGGAGGACGACCTCGACGTCTTCCGGTAGCGGGTCGCCTGGGAGTCGGAGATGCCGGAGCCATCTTGAGCGAAACTAACGGCGATGTAAACTTGAAGATCGGAGCGTCGCTGGCGCAAGCTTGAGATGGATAATCGCGTCAAGGGGGAGGTGGCGCGCAGGCTCGGTCCGAAGCTTGGCGAAATCACCAATCATTTGAAAGGCGCCATACACACCAGAAGAGCTTTCTTTATTATTCCCGTAGGGTTGATGATCAAAGCAAGACTTGTTTGGTGAACAAGATGATGGAATTCGCGACGGCAGAGGAGGTGATGTTCTGCCTCGGGCAAGGAACGCGTGAAGTTGGCGTGCACGGTCCCCGTTTAGTCAGCGGCGTTCAGGGTTAAGGCTGACATAAAAAGGTCACCAGACTCTAAGATACTTCTCGGGCAATACAAGCGGCGAGTTGCTCGGATTAAACTTTCAGTATGTTTCAGCAGTGTTACTGGTTTATGCAGCTCATCTGCCAGTTTGTCTCTTTCTGGCTTAAGCTCATGGGCCGCATCTGCAACGTGGGGAAGTAGATCTAGCATTTTGGTGGGATTGCTTGATCAGATCTGACATGACTTATTGTTCCTGGCACTGCTGTCGTCCAGTGACGTAGGATCTCCCCGAGGAAAAAAGTCCCTATTGTTTACTACAAGTAATGCCAAGATCGGTTTCCCTAGGTCGCAGATCACCATTGCTTGCTGGCGCTTGAAACATAACTACCTTACTTGGCCAGACCATCCGTAATCTCCTGCCTGACCTTATGATGAGCATATGTTATCTGATCCTGAGCTTGTCTATACCTGCAATGATTTGCTTGAGAACTTTCCAAAGAGGTCAGTCATCAGTTGGTAGTGCTTTGTCTCTCTCTTGCACCCACCCGACCAGGGACTTGTTAGTGACTCCAATGGCAAAGAAGGACTTTGAATAAGACTTCTTGGCTCCGCAAATCATGGAAGCAAATGCCGAAACAAGATCTAGAGATCTGCCCAGGGTCTAATTTGAGATCCTATCATATGCTCCGCTCCCCTCATGCCCACTCTTGTTGACACTTTGACGTCTGTGTAAGCGAACTGGGTCGACAGTGCAGCAGCTCATTACCGCCTTTTCCTTAACATGCAATGCAATGGCAGTATCTATCATTCATGATCGGCTGTCAAAGGATTGCAAGATGCCTAATTGTTGAGAACAATATTCATCGCCTGGCAACATCCATATCACCAGATATACATCGCCGATAGCAATGCAAAGCTTGATTTGAGCGCACCCAGAGGACTACTCCGACTCTTGAGGTGCATGAGAGCTTATCCATATTCACGATGGCCTCAGATCTAACGACCCTAGTACCTGTCCCTGGCCGCGGGGTCATCCGCTTCGATCCACTCCGTTGCCTCGGCGGCCCCAGAACGGGCACGACTCGGGCGGATCCAGGCGTTGGCGATTTTGTGAGCAGTCAAGGATTATTGATGCATCGTCAGTTCCACGTGGTGTCGTTATATGGTTCTCTGTGGCTCTGAGCTTAAGAGCTTGCATCATATAACGGTGATAGCACTATAAAATGTCATCGAAGAAGTACGGCATTTCTTTGCCAGGCGATTCAAATGGTCGCAGATGAATAGATACTACCTGTCTTGATAGATAATCCACATCAGAGCCTTGTATCACAGGCTAAGATATCTCCAGACATTATGGTTGATACTGGTGACCTGGTCTACAGCCCGAGTTACCTACTATGCATAGTAGCTTTTGGCTCTCCCTTTGCTCTGACTTGTTGAGGCTTCTCTGACTGCACCGGAACAATATTATGGACATCGTCTTATGTACCTTTTCAGTATCTGCTTTCGTCTCTCATGGGTAGCGGGAAGCATGAAGCGACAAACTAAAAAGGATAATCACATGCCCTACCAATACCAACGACCTGAGAGAAATACCACAAATAGAAAGCCAGGACTCTACTACTAACTCATGCCACAGTCTGGAAATCTCCAGTTCGAAGGCTATCACTACCCTCGTCGCCATCGTGATACTGGCATGGAAACTACGAATGCGAATGACCTCGAATCTGGGGCATTGACTCAGCCATCCAACACTACTAAGCTTGGCCCATGCTGCTTCATCAAAATTCAATGTCGCACCTCGCCCAGGAATGATGACGCCCCCTCATGGCTCAGATATTGGCCAAGCCTTAAACTTACCCTCCCAACCCTTCAATCTCTCACTCAGCCCGCCCCCTCCATCAACACCAACTGAGGTTCTTATGTACCTTATACCGGCGGCTTAGCCAGCACACCATCTCAATGTTCTAGCTGTGTCAGGAACAAATCGTCCATAAGCATCTGGTCATGTCCTCTTTCAACACTCCTAGTCTCCTAACACCCAAACTAATCCCAAGCCTCTTTGGTCCCTCTGTGACTTAGGGCATCAGGCTAAAGCCGGCTGACCTGGTCACGTCAACCAATAGTCTTGCTCATCTCTTGGCTTCTTCCACGACGGTATCATCGGGAGCAAAAAAAAATATCATTTCCCTCCAGGGGCTCATAAGCCACGACGAGTGACCTCTGAAACGATCCTTGTTAACATTGCAATCTGTGCACATTCATGATAAGGATTCCATATTCTGGGACAGTGGCAATCCTTGATTATTAGGATACCACAACAGTGTTACAAGAGGACAACTAGAAGCACCAAGGGTTTGAACAGATAGAGGATATCATGTATTACAACAATCTCCAATTCTTCAGCATAATTGCCTCAGATCACATAACCTTCAAGCCAAGTGAAGTCTTTTTTTCTTCCAACCATACCGTAAATCAAAAATGCATATGGGCAAATGCCCTTGACCTTCCAACGCCGTGCCCAGACTCCTACGTGAAAGCAAAAAAAAAAAAAAAAAAAAAAAAAAAAAAAAAAACAGTACATGTTCAATCTCATTTCGAATGAGAACAACAGGCATTCTTTATATCAAACCCTTTCCCTCTATCAGAGGCCGCTGAAAGATGTGATATCTCTAGAACAAGGGTGAGAGAAACATGCAGGCTCCAGAAAGGAGAAGCAGCCATGAAAAGTAAAGATGAGTTCCTATACTCAAACAAATGCAGATGCATTATCTGCCCAAAACGCCGCCTCGCTATGCTCCATGATATCGTTGCAAATGCCAATAAAAAGTAAAATACGAAGTGGTCGAGCTTGAATCCTCAGACTCAGCTCAACAGAAGAATTGAATCATACCGAGGAGTCCAGCATGCTCCCACAGTAGAGAGGGTATATGGGTATCATATGGATGTTGTCTTCCAGGTCTAACTCTGCTGGTATCGCATCTTCGATTTCAGCCCAAGGTCCGACCACTATGTATGGCTTGAGCCTGGGGGGCGTGGATAGGAGTATGTGCTGTGCGCATGGCTGTACCGGATGGGACACTAGGTGTCGAAAAGTCTGCCGGGCGGCTGGTAGTCCAAGTCTCCTCGCTCAAGACAGAAAGGTAGCTATTACCGACAGTATTCCGCAACGCCTCAATCTTCTGACGGTATATTTCACCACCGGCATCCCAGTCCTGGGATTCCTTCCAAGTGGAAGCGTCATCGTTAGATGAGTAAGCAGCTGGGATGTTGGTGAAGATGTTGGTGTCAACTCGTGGTACTTCAGGTGAGCTGACAACTTGCGAGTCGGTCGATAATGTGGGCGGCGACAAAACCTGGCCTTCAGGTTGCTGGGATATCCGGTAGTTTCCGTCGTTAGTGAGCGGAGACTTGGGCTGCTTGCCGACCGGCTTCGCTACTTGAACCTCGACTGGGGTTGGGAAGGATGGGGTATCAGAAGTGGCCAAATCCACGATTCGCCTCTTTGGAGTCTTTCGCCGACGTGTCGAGCTGGTGTTGATTTCACTCATGACAGCCTTAGGCGTAGGCCGTTCCTTTCGGAGGACAGCTGGCTCTTTGGGAGGGTTGAAAATAATGGCAGGCTTGCTGACATCGACAGTAGGTACCTCAGGGACCTGTGGCTTGACGACAGGGATGGAGTCGGGGATAGGGGGGCGGTCAACCAGTGATCGTCTTTCAACGTAACTTGGACCACTGCCATCAATAATCACGTCGTCAGTATAGCCTGGAGCTTTGCGGAAGAGGTTAAAGATGGTGATGCGATAATCCTTGTGGGTACGAGTGAAGGGATTGCCCTCAACCCAAATCTCGTGGATGTCGGGGATACCTGTCAATCTCGCCAGTTCCATTGGGTCGACTAGACGGTTATCTCTCAAATCGAGTCTCTCAAGAGGAACCAACTTCTCAACGCCAGCAAGGCTCTGGAGCCTGTTGGCTCGAAGGTTGAGAGCTGTGATGGCAGGAAGAGGGTTGCGGGTCAATGACTGGAGAGAGTCGATCATACAGTGAGACAAATTTAGAGCTCTGAGGGCGGTCAAGGTAGCCAGACTGTCTGGAACCTGGCTGAAGAGGTTGGAGGAAATATCCAGTGAGTAGAGTGTGTTGGATAGGGGTGAGAGACTATTTTGCGGAATAGAGGTCATGGAATTGTCAGCCAGACTCAAATGTCGTAAAAAGCGCCACTTGGAAGTGGGGAGGACGCCCATGGCAAGTAAGTTACCAGAGCTACCTCGAGAATGGTGATGACCAGTCCAAGAATCGGAAAGGCTGGAATGAGAGCTACCAGATCCGGATCGCCTCATGCGGTGATGGTTACCTCGAACAGGATGTGATTGCGTTCGAGAGCTGGTAGGGCGCGGAGGTGAGTTGCTCCTGGGACGAGAAGATTTGTGCACAGTTTGTGGGGTGTCATCTTGCTCGTCATCCTTGCTCAAAGACTGCCTACGGCTGCTCTCTTCGATAGCATGTTCACTTGGGGTCAACGAACCGACCCGCATGTCGACATGTGCACCAGGAGAGCTTGGAGCAGACACGGCTCGGTGAAGCTCGGGGTGGACAATATTACGACGAGGACTGCCACTACCCGTCCAAACTGAAGTGGGCGAGGACTGGGATTTGGAGACTCGTCGACGGCGTTTGTCCATATCATCCAAGACGATGTCAATCAAGATGTCCGCGGGGTCCTCAATACCAGCACGTTTCAGAGTAAGAGAACGTAGCTGATCGGCCAGACGATCCCAGCCAAAGAATTGCCTGAAGTCGATGCTGCTAACTTCGAGAGCCTGCAGGTTCTTGAAAACGTATAGGGGTACAGCCGAATCAAATGGAAACTCTTCATAACCTCGAATCAGGCGGGCACGCCAATCTGGAGCCAATCTCAAGCAAGGAATCTTGGTAAAAGCAGAATAGAGGTATTTCATGTCAGCTTCCAGGGCGGCTTTTTGGCGTTCGGTCCGAGCAGCAGATATACTGGCCCCGATGCCGAAACTCGACAATAATGCAGACATGCCCGACATGACACTTCGTATACTCGAGACAGAGTGTATTGAATCAATATCCGAGCCTTTGCTCCTCGATCGCTGGGTATTACTGAGGAAAGAAACATAGTTGGCAGAGGATGAACTGTCGTGGAGATTTTCAAGCCGGACTTTCATAGGACCGACACTGATGCCGAGTTCTTCGAAGCGGGAGAGCAGGTAAAATAGGTGATGAGGCGTGAGAGCCAATTTTACAGATTTGGCATTATGTGATGTGAAGTTTAGGGTTCCGAGCGACAATGCAGCTGCGAGCGAACTCGATGTGGAAGCGGAGGTAGATGGTCGTTCGGGAAGCGAAGTGGAAGTTTGGGAGAGAAGGGTCGCTGAGCCTGTACTCTGAGATGGCTTATGACGGACTTGGCGGCGTAGTTGAAGAGCGTTGGCCAAAGCCTTCTCGTGCGTCCGAACATAGCCGGCAAGTTGCTATCATGACCAGTCAGTTAACGTGATCAACAAGAATGCAAATATGCTGAATGCCCACCTTTATGAACAGTTCTCCGTCTTCTGAATCCATGATTATTGCCCACAACACATGAAAGGCCCGAGAAGGATAAGAATATGTGGTTCGGGGGACGAAGGAGTGGAATTAGCAATGCCGAATAGGAAAGGGACCGTTTCTATTATATCGAGGGGCTGTAATGTCGACCTATTTCACTAACGAGTTAGTGACTTGTCAAGTTTGAAAAGGTGGCCAAGTACAAAACGCAAAGCCGATGCGAGGCGAATAGAACACAATGTCTGTCGTCCTCGAGCACTCAAAGTGAAATGCAAGCGAGCAGGAAGACAACTGCCAGTGGCTCAAAGGAGAAATGAGGGTTGTGTTTAGTATGAAGGCCAAATAATGATTGAGCAGAGCCGCGTTCTTCACTCGTCGTAGGTAGCAATGCTAGGCGTGATCACTATCGCAGTCTGGATGGTCACACGCATTTGAGAAATCGCTAGTGGCAGTAATCACGCAATGGGGCGGGAGATGACGGCCAAAGGAGCGATTATAAAGTCGATTTGGATCAAGACACAAGAGTTTTGTCGGTAAATTGTAGCAAGGCACTAGAACGCGCGGATCGATGTAAATGCAAGCGTGCAGAAGGGGCCAAACGGGTGGAAGTTCCATGCAAATATGGATGGAGTGGTGGTTGTCTCAGGCAGTTGCAGTCGGGGTGATGCAGAGGAAGATAGGCAGCCGCGACGCATTTTCATCACCGTCACGTTTCCCTCTCCATCACTGTCGCAGAACAGCAGGAGAATTCAAACGCAAAAGAACGCTGAGCGAAATCAAGATGCAAATACCGGCACAATGGGAATGCGATCAAAAATAAAAACCCGGCACAGGAGCATCATGTACTCACCTCGTTTGATGTAGGAGAACCGGCCGCAAGCACAGCAGCAGCAGCAGTTGAAATGGAATTCGGCGACCCAAAGACACGGGGTGATTATTACGACTCGAGATATCCGAGTGCGAGTCCGATAACCTTCGAGGATTCGAAGGACCGACGAAATGGTCGAGGTTGTAGAGGAAGGAAGTCGACGTGAACCCAAGAAAGTAAGAGAGGAAGTAGACGAAGGGGAGTCTAAGAACTAAGTACCTACCTTGTAAGTGTGAAGTGTGGGTGCTGGGAAGAGACCCATAGAAACTAACAACAGGGGTGTATCAGATGGGAATCTCGTCCTCACGAACCTCGCCCGCCCACTGATTTTCGTTGCCAATTGAACGGGGCCGGGTTTTCAATTTCCATCACGACGGGAGGCTCACGCTCACCTCACCTCACAGGTTCACTCTCGGTAGCGTTAATAGCGGCGCTACGTACAGCGAGCAGCACAGCACACCCTTCCTCCACCACCCCAGGAGTCAGGACACCCTCTCGCAGAATGGGTTTGTCCTCTAACCACCCTGGTTGGTACCCTGGCTGGCCCGTACGGCGGCTGACTGGTTCAAGGGGCGCAAGTATCCTATACATTGCGACCTCTTTGGTTGATGTGGACCATTGAGGTGGACCCTTGAATGGATCTTCTGCAACTTATCCCAGCGAGGGTCCAGGCCGGCGACGAGGGATTCACATTCAGCAAAGAATCGCCCAGTAGCAGTTCCTGAAATTTTTCCAACATGCAGCGCTCTGGGATCTTGATCTCTTGCAGATTCATAGAGGGAATGCATTCTTCACAGCTATAGTCGCAGCACGCGCTGGCAGGTGAGGTCATCAGCGATCGATTTTGTGCATTGAAGTTTACGGATATGGCAGCGGTTGAAATGGAGAAAGTAATACCGGTTACAATGAGAACGACGATAACGACATCGACTAAAAAACGGCCGTGGCTTTCCTCACACCTTGCTTAGCTTCCCTCGCATCAGTCTTCACTCACCGTCCGTGCCTTTAGAGCCTTTCGCCTGTCTATAATGGTCTTTTCAGCCAATCCATTCCCTGTGCCACCACATATCAACTTCATCACTTTTCTCTCCGGAATTTTGTGATCACTGATCTCAACTCTGCATATTCGCCTCCTTCATACTTGACATGCTTCATCGCCAAAGTCGGTCAAGCTAAAAGACTCGTGGTTATATCATGGCCGACTTCACACGCATCAAACAGCAGCATGTCTAATCTTCCATGATGCGATACTGGCCTCAGGTCTGACTCAACCCCGCCACCTTCGTATTTGGGGGTTTGTTTTAAGAAGAGCTGAGCAAGACATAATTGAAGCCTCCCCTCATCTGATGCCTCACTCTAGCTGAGGTTCAGGAGTGGCTGAAGAACATGGCTGGATAAGGACTGTCAGGTTGATGTTGTACTGGGCACGCAGCGAGCTCATGATATCTTGTGGTGAATGACAGAAGACAGCATGCATCACCGAGTCGCGCCGCCAAGTCTTCGGAGGTCTTGGTGGGGTTATCGTTGGTGGGGGGTGCTTAGCGTTTGACCAGGATAAGGGAGGGCATGGCTAGAGGCACAGGGACTCGGACGAGTCACAAACGACTATCCGAGTGCTGCGCTTGAGATTGGTGATAACCGTTCCGCTGAAATAGCCATTTCAGCGATAGTCGCAAGCCGCTTATTTCCTTTAGGGGAGGCTAGGGACGTTGCAGTGTAGGGACTCCAGTCCCTGATGGGCTCTTAGTGCTGGACCTTCATTTCCAACAGCCCGCGCGGACCAGTCCAGGCTTGAATCCTTTCAGCAGTAAACAAACCACCATGATAATAACATTACGACGATATAAGAGGGACACTGGCCACTATGGTCAGGATAAAGATCAAGTACGTGCACGAACATCAGCCACTGCTTGTGCCCTGCGTTCCATACCAGAGACCAATGTCTCACGGACCATGGCCATGGGTATTGACGACCAGGCTCATCAACACCATGATTTTGTGTTGTTTTCGTTGGTTGTTTACTTAGCGACGGGCACGCCATCATCCAACACAGCTTGTGCTCATATCGGCGGTGTCCTCAAACATACAAAGCATTACCTAAGAAAGAGATGAGAAATCTGCAAGATGAACAGAAACTTCGCAATACACTACTGCACTTTTCGTTTTCTCTTTGCAACATGGCATCATGGTTCCTTGACAACCGAAGTTTTGGGGTTCCCTGCTAGTGGAGCACCGGCATTTGATAGAGATGATGCATCGAGCATCTGGAGAAGAATGACATGCAGCGCCCGATTAAACTGATACGCGTGTTTCTCTCTTGTCTGGTCAATAACGGCCCGGCTGTGATACAAGACATCGCACATCACGTTAAAATATCGCCATGTCTGCCGGGCTCCTTAAGAAGCGAGAGTCCCGATATCGATGTATACAGGTCGCTGTTGCAACAAACAAGCAATGTTGCTGGCGGATATGACTTTTCCATTACTGCTGTGAATGCATGCAAAGGAACAGCATATGGTTCATAATAATATTAGATGGACATCGCAATGATTAGCCAATCGTTAAGATGCTGTCAACTTCAAACACCGGGAAAACATCATGGTCGATCAACCACCCACACCACCAAGCGACTCGACCATTCCATGGCTTCATCATTTCTTGATTCAGTAGCTATCAGCAGCACTATCACACGAACATCAACACCGAACCCACCTGCAACCCAACGCGTCACGGTCAGATGGCTGTCACGACTATCGATGGCACATCTAAGACACGGCCGTCACGCAGCACAGCTATTCGCTGCCACGAGACCTCGGACTACATTCTGGACAGTTCCCTCAACATCTTATGCTTCTGCCACGCGCATCTCCGTCATGAGGTTTAAACATGCGGAAAACAACGCTTTCTCTCTATCAACATGGTTCCTCTTCCGCCAAAGCACTCCTTGCTTCTCCTCATTTGCGGTTGATCTGTCGAGGTTATGGTCCATCACGACTAGGTATCCTCGCCTCTACTACTGTACATCTCTGCTGCGCCTTTGAAGTTTGCGGAGCCTCTGGCCATTTCATATCCTCTTGGCGTTTTCGCTGCGGTTATGTCATACCTCCACTAAAACTCATTAACATTATTCTCTGATTGGGAGTCGAATGTCATCTTGCTTGAAGGGCCTCGAGAGTACCTTGTCCAAGTTCCACTCCCGATGCTAGGTAGCGGATACTTATGGCCTGCAGGCTGTTGAGCTAGCTCTCTTCATCCCTGCCCATTAGTGGATGCTCATCCCGCTCCGCTGAACCATTTCAAAATGCTCAAACTCACGATGATCTTTAAACAATCTCAACACTTGCCAAGACAAAAAAAAAATCAAAGCTAACGAGCATCGCCGTAACTACAATTAAAGAGGTGGTCAGTGTTATATCATCGCTACGTCGGCTTAATTTTTGTCGTATCAGTTTGCTAGAAACCTTATGGTGCCCACAACTACACCGGTTGATCTCTTTCATCTTCGCTGTCTGTATTGCTTTGTTCGGCATACCCGTTACAGTGGTAGATACCCTACGATGTCAGAGACTGGAACAAATATGGTGTTGTTACGCAAGAAACGCAAGCCAAGTCTCTGTGGAATTTCGGCGGCATGGCTTTGTTTGCTACCAGTAAGACGCCAGTAAATCCTGTGTCGCTTTCAAGAGTCGTAACGCGGTCCGTAACAATAGGTACTGGTCCACCATTGAATATTATCGAACAAAGTCGAAAAGTAGTCAAACGAGACCACGAAACCGCCATACCCATCTCGAGACTCAGATGTTCTGAAGATAGCTCCGATGAATCTACGGCCAGAGAAACGGTCTAGACCATTGAAACCCAAGTCAACATCAGTCGTCCTGCCCGATTCGGCAATATGTCTTGGGTGGGCATAATACGTTTGACATATAAGCCGCTGCTGCAGGAGAATATCCTTCTGCAGTCATGGTCACAGACGGCGTTTGAGCAGGATGCAGCCGTCAATTGCAGCTCAGATGGCCATGCTTGGCCATATTTTCGAGAATTATCGTGAAGTAGGTAGTTATCCGTACCAACAAGCCCCAAACTCTATATGCCGAGATCTCAACGCTTTTCGGAGATGTTCCTCTCTTTCTGGCAGGAAGATCCAGCA